CACACACACACTCCCTCTCGCTTTGTCACTCAGCTGTGTGACTCTGGGCAAGTCACTTGACCTTTTGGGCATAGTTTATCTTGTGTGTCAAATCAAAAGGATAGAACAGAGAGTTTAAGGTCCCTACCTTCTAGCTCTAATAGTATAAACAGTATTAGAACAGGACTGAAATGAACTAGATTTTAAACATTAGAAAAATACTCTGCATTCCCTAATTAATGTGACCTTATGAGATACCATATACTAAAGACAGCATACGATGTCAAAGGGGTAGTAGACTGAGGGAGAGGGGTTATCACTTTGTGAGGAGTGTAAATGTCTAACTATTATATTGTTTTGTACAACTGAAACTAAAAAAAAGACAGCATAGCTGGGAGAAGAACAAAGAAAGTCCCTATCTTCCGGTTTCCTAGCTCTCTCCTCTTTTACTCTTCAAAGTAAATCTAGTTATAAGGCTGGTGTTTAAAGCTGTTTTCAGGTGTAAAGGTAAAACCTCATTTGTTCTCCCACTACTTCTTTTTCCATGAACATTGTTTTGCACTCTGAATAAAGAAAAGTTGTGAAATCCCTTAACTGTGGCTAATTTTGAATTCTGGGTTATATAAACACTGGTGTTCTTCAAGTTAGTGGAAATTTCCAAGTAGCCCAATTAGTAGGAAGAGAAAATAATTTTTTCCCAACCTCAAGTACAGAAAACCAAAAGAAAGTCAAAAGAGGAACCTCTAAGTACATCACTTTCTAGAGTATGTAATAAGATACTACAGATAAGGGATCAATTCAAAAGCAATTAATCCATGAAATCCCTGTTTTTAAATTGCCCATGTATGTACAATTCAGATTTACAACACTCAAAGACTATGGAATATTATTTAGCTTTTACCAAGCTACAAGGAAACCAATATCAGAGAATTTGGCTTTAGAAGTTTAATTTTCTTCCCTTGAATTATTGTGTCATCACTAGTCAATCATATCTTTTGGGAAGTGAGTGGAATTAAATTTTTCTTTCTGCCTTTTCCTATTTCCCAATGAATTTTTAAAACACCTTATCGAATCAGTTATCATATTGTATTGTTAAGGTTTTGCTTGCAGGTCTTGCTAAACGATAAGTCTCTAAGACAAGGACCATGTTGTATTAGTTTTTATATCCTCAGCCATTACCAAAAAAAAAAAAAATCCTAACACATGTTAGATGCTCTATAAACACTGCCACACAGCAGAAGCAACCATGGGCCAGGCCCCATAATCAACACTGACATGCAGTCTTTACTTAATCCTTTCATATAAGTATAGGAAATCTGTTTCATGATAGAGGAAATTTTAATCCTCTTTTAACATCAACCCTTTCATTTCACTTTCCATTCTTTTCTCAATTACCTTCAGATGTCTTTCATTTCCAAAGAAGCCCTCCCCAGAAAAAGAGGCAGACAGAGAAGGATTTCGGGGTCTACCCTTTCCCTAGAGCTGAAGAGTCCCCAAATAAGTGGTACAAAGGAAACACAAAGGGATGAGGCCTCTGGTTTCAGATGAAGAACAAAAACCTTGCTGAGTGGCTGCTGTGCATTTAGAACACTTTGCAAGAATTCAGTGAGAACGGAATTGAAGGGACAGTGGTAAATGCTGAAAAGTGGGAGTGGCTAATCATCACTGAATTTTTAGGAAAGGGGGAGAACAATTTATCTTTGGTGTTATTAACGTGCAATCCTCTCAGGAGGCAACAATCAGCATGTCTGCAGATAGCAAATACTACTCCTATTTTATAGTAACAAATCAGTCATGAATACTGTAGTTATCTTCAAAATGAGCTTAGAAGTAAAAAACCTAAGTTTTATAGAAATGATTCTCCAAGTCACTGTTGGCTAAAATTTAGGATAACAAGATAATTTACTATCAAGTGCTATTAGAGGAAGAGTTATTCGATCTACTTATACTGTATCCAATTTCCAAAAATATCTGGTAAAATGCAATTATAGTGATACTTTTGGTAAGCCTGGGCTCTGCGCCCAGGCCACCATTCAGGAAGCTGGGTTACTATTAACCATTGCATGTCATAGTCTGATGTAAAGTGAACTGAAAGGTCACAGTTCAAAAAATCTACTAGAAAAAAATAAGGATCCATTTTCTGAGCTCCTGTAGTGATTAAAGACTAAATGATGGGGACAGGGCAGGGAATGGGAGGACAGGTAGCAAAGGATTCCAGCAAACTGCTTGCAGAAGGAAGACCAATGCTAGTTGTGTGCAATTTGTTTCTACATGAGTCTCTCCTACTAGGAGGGCAATGAGTTTGGCTTACCTATCACTCTGATTAATTTCATTAGCTACCTGGAACATACAATGAGGAAAATTTAAAATACTGAGCTGAGTTGGAGAGATCATCTAGTACCAACATCTGTCATGGATACAAAGGAAGACGTTAATGTTGATTGGTCACATTGTTTCCATTTCTTTACTGAAGTGGATCATGCCCATTTCATCTGTGTATTCTCAGAATCCACCCAGAGCCTGGCACATAGTAAATGTTCAATAAATGTCTCAGAATGAATTAATGAAAAATTAGACTTTTTTTTTTACCTTGATTTCGAACAGGGGTAACAAAATTGGTACCACGAACATTTCTCCAGTCCCAAGATGTTGGCAAATGTAAAACCTTCTCATGTATTTCAGCAGTCAGTGGTGCAGGTTTGGGCCTAGGATGAAAATACACACTTAACATCAATATATAGTCTTTCCTTTAAGGGTGATTTCCTACCTCTAATTTCATGATTCAACCACCTGGTTGGCTAGGATCTAATTTCAGACCCAAAGAGCACTTGTCCTGTCAGTGTTTCAATGTATCTATTACACAATAATATGTCTATCATACAATAATGTGTCAATTTCACAACTAAGTTGTGCAAAGGGCTTTCATTATCTTTCTTTATCGTGAATGATCTCATAATTTTCCCCTGTGACCAAGGGCACTGGCTTTGTATGTCACTGTGATGCTATTTTTAGTATGCTTCCATAGCTGCATTCTCTTACTTTTAACAGATTTTGACCAAGAAAGTAGACATGAGAAGTTAAAGATGGCCCACAAAGTATACAGAGAAAATAGAGGAATTACTTACGTTTGACTCTAGAGATGGGTGGTAGTGATAGTGAGGTGGTTGGGAAAGAAGTGAGGCTGGCACAGAAATAAAAGGTCTAAGTATAAAGTAGGCAGACTAGCTCCATAAACAACAGACAAAACTGCTTCATCATTACAGAGCTACACCTTATATGATATGCTTCGAAAGTAAGACACAAAAAGGAGTTGCCTGGGACGATAAATGATGAATAGACAGTTTCTGGAAATGAGAAACTTGTTCTACAGGCTCCTCTGTATTAGAGATGTAAAACAAATAGAACATTCTAGCTCTAGCCACATTTGACTTCTTGAAGTTTCCCCAAGCCTGCCAAATGATCTCAGTGTTCTATGTCTTTGCACTGCTTCTACTTTTATCTACAACGACTGTTGCCCACTGCTTAGACAAAACCACCTTAGAGTTTTTCCCTGACTTCTAATCCTACCCACCAACCCCAACAAAAACTCACTTCCCTCTATGCTCCCTCAACTCTTTTGTTAGAGCAATACCATTACAGTGTGGGAGCATTTATTTTTCTGTTATTGTAAACTACTTGAATTTCTTATACAACTTGGCATTATCATACCACACTGTTCTAATTTTTCAGTGGTTACCCAGTTGGATTTTACCAGGTTCCAATTTAGTTACTGGCAAAGATTATTTCTGGACTTCTTCATATCCTCGGCAAATATTCTCAATCAGTTTGTTCTCTCACACACTGCTCTTAGAGATGATATAAGTTAATACTAGGACACAATGGAAGTGACATGAAATAGAGAAAGGAAAAAAATCAGTCATAACTAGCAATAATAACCTTGAGAATTGTAAGGAACAGACAACATACTCCATGCAGAAATGTCAATCATTTTTTCACTAAAATATTAATTAAACCAGGGACATTGTTAGAAAAGGAACACGAGGTATTCTTTGACCATATGAGAGACAGTATTAAGAGACATGAAACATACAGAAATTACTATAACAAATTCAAAGAAGTTATAGTAATTCTATAAAACATTCGACTTGGATAATGCCAATGGAATAACCAAGGCACATAAAAAGCTATGTACAGTATATATAAATTTTATATATAGGTCAGGGGGAAAAAAAAACAAAAACAAACCTTGGCTATTGATTCTGAGATTTATGAATAAAAAACAGGGTGCAAACAAATTTTTGAAGGAAATAAACAGTTTCTGTGATTTCACATTGAGAGGTCAAAAGATTCAATCAATAGATATTAACTAACTGTCCTGTACATACCTAAGAATACACTAATATGAAAGATACAAAAAGAATTGAAATTTGGCAGCACAATGTAATTTCAGGGCAGGTATCTCAGTCATACTAACCTCCCACAAATGGGTCACCACTTACCAGCTATGTGACATCAAAGAATTTAACATCACAAAACTATGATCGAATTCTATTAAAATGGGTATAAGCATACCTACTTCAATTGACTGTTGTGAAAATAGTGCTTAGAACAGTGCCTGTCTCTGATAAGTCCTTAATAAATTATTAAGCTGTTATGATGATAACTACCATCATCCATTCATGTCATTAAGAGGACAAAATATGATGCTGATACTCTTGTGTGACTATCTGGAACACAAGAGGCATTCAAACTTCCTTTTTCTCACCATGCTGTAAGCCCAAATGTTTTCCCATCAATGTGCATATAGACAAAGCAAAAACAACGTGACAGCTGAAGCTTAGTAATGTGAAAATGAAGAGAGAGAAAGAGGAATTTGGGAGGCGGATAAGTGGGAATTACAAACATGACAGGAACACTATACATTATTGGCTCTTAATCATTTAGGTCCAGATTCTTTAAGAATCTAGTCATCAGAGAGATGCCCCAAAACCTTAAGTTTTTCTATAACTCCAGCAGTTTCACAAATTCCCTAAGCCTCAAGCTAAGGATCTCTGAGAGGTGACCAGTTAGCTCAGTTGGTTGGAGCATGGTGCTGATAGCACCAGGGTTGCTGGTTCAATCCCTGCATGGACCACTGTGAACAGCGCCCTCCCTAAGGAGGGTCAACTATGCCATTGTGGCATGGAGGCAATGTGTGTCCAATGACCATGGCTGTTCCTCAATAAAATTAAAAAAAAAAAAAAAAAAGAATCTCTGAAAGTTTGTTATGTCATCAGATTCTTACAACAGAACTAATTTATAAACGAAATGCTACTGCAAACCAGGCAGATAGACCATAATGTGTGCTTCAGTATTTCCCACTTCACTCAGTTCCATCTCCTTATCTTAAACTTTCTACAGAGCCTTAGCGGTTAAAAGCAGCACTTCATAAAGCTAGCCATTCTCCAACACAAAAGTGGTTGGGTGGAGAGAGCAAAGAGTCCAGCACAAAAGAGTTCCTCAGATACGTGGCACATGACACGTGGCAAAGCAGTTGTGTCTGAGGCTCATATCTTTCAGGCAGGAGCCCCAGTCTCCTTAGGCTCAAACGCTGACAACACCTCCTCTGACACTCCTCTGGATTTTTACTGAACAGGTTTCAACTTCCTATCTCACACAGACACAGTATGTCTCCTTCACTATAGTGAATCTGACAAGGGATATGCAAGACGTGCTCCATTTCCTTTTGATTAATCAGGGCGTCTTGTAGAGTAGGAATTCCTTAGAATACACCTTGAGAAATACTGTACAAGATTCTTTTGAGAAAAAGGCAGAATTATGAGACAATGCTCTCGGTTGGAGAGGAAAAATCTCCATACAGCCTCATAGCTGAAAAATGCCAGATCATTAGAATTATTAGTCTACAGGTGAAAAGTTAGAAATACATTTTAGTTAGTTAACAATGAACCGATTAGTGGCCTGTTCAGACATTAAAATTTGAACCAAGGACTCTATATGTATTAACGAAATAATCATTATACTTTCTGAAATTTGGAAAATGTTTTGATGTACTAAGGGAAAAATAAACTACCATCACAATTTATTGACTCCCATAAGAACCCTATTGGTTTCTAGTTCCCTGACCTTCAGTTGTATCAATCTCTCCTAGAGCAAGGTATGGCATCACAGTAATGTCCTTGGCTATTTAACAAATGTTAAGGGAATACAAATACATACACACACACACACACACACACACACACACACACACACACACACACACTGATAGGTCCAGCTATAGTTTTGAAAGAAAAAAAAAAATCTACCGAATTCCTTCCTGACTATATAAATTCAAAGTATTACGACCTAATTTCCCAAAGTAAGAATATACTATATTTCCCTATGTATAAGATGCACCCTTTTTCGAAAAATTTGGGGTGTAAAAACTGGGTGTAGATTTTTTGACAGTGATGAGGTATTGTATGAATTTTATGAAGAATAAAACTTGAATTCAATAACTTTATGTAATACATTTTTTTTCAAATTTTGGGCCCCAAAATTAAGGTGCGTCTTATACATGGGAACATCTTATACATGGGGAAATACGCTAAAGATGGGAAAAGTCACTTCTGGGTGAAACTAATAGAGATGTATTGATAACAAGGAAACGTTCTTTGCTGGACCTTTAAACAGAGAGAGAATTTTGAGATATTTACAGGTGGCAAATTTGATAGTTATTACAAGCAAAGTGAGGGGTATTTGAGGCAAAGGGAGTGGCATAAATGGTGATTATATGAAAAGAAAGTTTTAGCAATTGTGTATCATTGTTTAAAAACAGGTCACAGTACTCAATATAGTTATGGTAAAATTCAGATGGTTTTAGTTACCAAGTTAAATTTATTCATTAGAAAATAGGTAGTAACACGATCACAGCTGAGTATAGAAAGATGAAACGGCCAGTAAGTTACAGAATGGCTAAGAATGGGAGCAGGGAGGGAGAGACCAAAGAAACAGAATCAAAGAGACGGGGCAGGGGACTGATCCATAATTCAGGAAAGCGATGACAAAGCTCTAAGCCAGCATGTAGAAAACGGAAAGGAAGTCACGGAAGCAGCAGATGCTGTGAAAGCAAAACCCATAAATAGGACTTGGAGAGCATTTAGCATATGTATTAATAGGACAGAGAAATGGTAAGGGGAAAAAAAGATAACAGAAAAAGTTTAAGTTGACAAATAAAATCGTGGGCGACCCAAGGACAGCTGGCTGGAAGGGAGGATGGCATTCAACACAAATATCTTTATTAGTGATAAACAGATGTGCTTTATTACCTGGGGATTCTCCGGTTGTGGCCCCCACTTCTCCTCATCATCTCTGTCAGGGTAAGAGTCTCATATTCCATGTATGTGGTTGCAGTCCACGACTTCTGGACAGTGTTGATAGCTTTCACAAAGTCGTGATTATATTTGTAGAGCCTATTAGAATACCTGCCAACAAAAATAAGACAGCTTCAGGTATACTCTTCACTGATGTACATAGATATCATGAAAATAGGCAATCTTATACTCTGGCCTCAGTGAAAAGTGGTATCTTTCAGGAAGGCATTTTTTTTTCTTTTGTAATTTAACTTCAGCACCATATTCAGATCTTCAAATTTGTCTTTATTCGACATTTTTAGTATAAAAATTTTTGCAGGTTAAGTGTGCCACAGTGTAGAGGGAGACATAGAACACTGAATTTCTGGTCCATGGGACAAACATCATATATACAGAACACAAAATTTAAATAAACTAAAATTATAAGACAAAATGAAATCCAATTTCAGAGAACAAATATTAAAATATTATGAATCCCTGAACTATCCTTAACCCTAAGAAGATTTCACTGGACTCAGTCACTTTGTGTGAGGCATGCAGAACATGTCCCCATCAACCCAGCTTAGGAATCCTTGGGAGCCATGAGGGACGGCATCAGATACTCCAACAACAAATGGTAATCAACGTTTGATCTGAAAAAAAAAATCCCCTTAATTTGGCTCAAAAGTCATCAGGCTTTTAAAATACCTCCTCCTCACTCCTCATATTTTAAGCAAACTGCTGTTTACAGTACAATTTGTGTTGATATCCTTTGCTCAAACAAAGCTGTTCTTCTGGCACCAAAACAAATTTGGATTTGGTTCATACATAAACAGACTGTCCAAAAGGCACCCTCCACTTTTTCCTAAGGAGATGCACGTATATATGTCAATAGCCTGGAACTGGGATATCTCCTATGAAAACAAAAGTTCAAATTAACTAAGATATATGTATAAGGATGTTCAACGATATGCTTGTATACTACTGGTAGATCATAAACAACCTAAACAAATGTTCTAAGATATGGAATTGTTTAAATAAATAATGGTACTTAATTTACCATATAGTTTACTCAGTAAAAATGTATAGAGTGTTCACACTATATTAAATTAAAAAGCAGAATATCAAAGAAGTTTATACAGCTACCTAACGTGAGTAACATCTTACGCATATTTGTGCACTTTTCTTGCTCTTTTAATTTAGATGGCATAGAGTGTTTTGATGCAAAGAACCCTGGTAGCACCGAAAATAATAAGAACAAAGTGCAACCACATTGATAATGTTTTAATGTTTTTATCAAAGTTCTTCCCTGCTTGTTGCAAAGTGTGCAGCGAGAGGTAGGTACCTTTATTAAAGAGAATCTACAACTGCCCCTATCATATTTCTTACAACAAAAACAAGTTACGGTTATTTGTTTCTTTAGACACAAGAGTACATTTTAAATTGTAAATACTGTGTCTTAAAATATTTTCCACTGATGAGTTACTATTTCATGGACTTTAAGTATTTGAGAAGCAGTAAATAGCCCTAATTCCCTTGCTTTATCATAATGTCTATCAAAACATCATGAGCTATGTGCATTACAATAGTAACAAAATAGGTCTTAAACACTATTATTTTTAATGTTTAAGATCCAAGAAGATTACAAATAATGCGCCTTACTATCGGCTACCAGGTCATTAGGAGCTGAAAGAGACCTTGAGGGTAATTTCATCCCAAATGCCGGTTTTACAGGTGAGGCAACAGAGGTTCTGAGCACTCCAGTTAGCAGCTTCTTCACTAAATGAAGCAATATTTAAGATACCAAAAAAGCACAATAGTACACAGTATATCCTAACTGGTAGGGAGAAAAGTAAACATCTTATTAGGAAATGTGTTGCTTAACAATCAAAAGCCATTTAAAAGCTAAATTCAAAATAGTGGCGGGGGGAGGGGGGATGAATGGATGAATTTAGTCTAGACTAGGTCAGCACTTTCCCAGACAAGTGCAGTTCATCCTCTTTGAACTCATGCCTCCCGCCTCTCTGCTGCAGTCATTTCCTGCCAGTGTGACCTGGCTTTAGATAATTCGTTCACGTACACTATCAGTAGATTTCACAACTAAATAAAACAGAAAAGGTTGCTACTCATACTTGTTTTTCTTCTCCTTCCCAAATTAATAAAAGTCTAAAATCTCTTGTTTGTATGGTTCACAGTTACCTAAAGTGCACCTAACTTAATAAAAACATTAACTGCATGTTATAGGCTGAATTGTGATCTCTCAAAATTCGTACACTGAAGTCCTAACCTCTAGTATGTCAGCATGTTACAATATTTGGAGATAGAGCCTTTAAAGAAAAAATTAAGGGAAAAAGAGGTCACATGAGTGGGTCCTAACCCAATATGATGGCTGCTCTTATAAAAAGAAATGAGGACACACAGAAGGATAACCATATGATGTCACAGAGAGAGGGTGGCCATTGGCAAGCCAAGCAGAGAGACCTCAGAAGAAATCAAATCTGCTGATACCTTGATCCTGGACTTCTAGCCTCCAGAACTGTGAGAAAATAAATTTCTGTTGTTTAAGCCACTCAGTCTGTGGTAATTTGTTATGTCAGCCCTAATAAACAACATACACTACATAAACACTAAGAATTTTAATTTCAGTTATTTACTGCCTTATTTAAAATTTATGTTCAATTAGTATTACCTACACTTGTTGCAACATAAACACATGTATCTACAAATATTATGCAACATGTTTTTATATGGCAATATTAAAATGATTTTTTCTTTATTACTCAGTGCAGTTCTGTAGTCCTTTATATAAAATTTTCCTTAAAGCCATCATTGGTACATTATTTTTGGAGTGCTTCGAAAAAAATACTTCTCTCAATTACATCAGTCAACATATTTTTCCAGACAAGTGTTTTTTGTGTTTTTTTTTAAGCTGAGCCATCCTGCCACCTGTTGGCAGCTCACAGCTGCTCAGCTCGGGCCAGGAATCAAACCGCTGTTGCTCAGAGCTCAAACTCTTGAGCGAGCTCTTAACCAACTGAGCCACTAGGCCGGCTCTCAGTCAAGTTTTACATAACATGGCTTATGTTTCCAAGCCAAATATATTTTACATACTCAAAATAAAATTTTCCAAGAATTAACATACACACATACATACTATAAAACGAAACTAAATACATCTTTCATTTGTGACAACTCACTTTTCCTGGAGACTCTTAAGGTGTGCTGTGTTCACATTCTCAAAGGTAGTTTCCATCTTCTTTCCGGTGAAACAAGCCCAGTTCCGGCCCAGCACATCATGCACCCACCCAATCATGGTCTCATGACACAAACTGGTCACCTTGCCACCCTCTTCTTTATACTGCAATCAAAGAAGGGAAGAAAAGGCCAAGTGAACCTATGGTCAACTCTCAGGTCCATTTCCTTGGCTCCCATTCACAGTAAAGACACCCCTTTTTTGTTTGTTTGTTTCATCTTAGGGATCAGCCCCTGCCAACGACAACCAAAACTCCATATTAGAGATTACATTCTGAGAAAACATTCTAGAAAAGGAAGAGAAATAAAGGTTTCTATGATTAGCATTGTTAGTCACCATCCAAAATTTACATAACAAAACACTTCTGGCTACGAAAGGCAAGGCACGAAACTAACATTTTTATAGCATCTGCCACACTCCAGGCATTTTACAAAAGCCACCTCATTTGATCCTCACAATAAGCCTATGAGGAGGCAGGTACCAATAACCCCATTTTGCCAGGGGGAAAGTAGAAGCGCAGCTCAGAGGAGACGTAGCTCCCACCTAAGATAACAGATCTGTTCGGTGTGTCCTTACATTTTTCCACTCAGAGAAGCTCCACTCCAGCAAAACACAAGAACAAGTGATGAAAATTTCCCATAGGACTACACATAATCTTTTCTTCTGTAACTTCTGTCCAATTTATCATGTTATCCTGATGATGAGAGAGCTAAAGTAACCTGATGAATAAATATTCCCTCTTCTTTATTTCACTAATATGACCCTTTGTCTTATTTCAACATTAACTATAAATTGATCGATCCAGGATTTGAACCCAGAGGCTTTGGTCCAGAGCCTAAAAACCCTCATTTTATAACATTTCTTCTTGGAGGAGGGACACATAATCTGGAATGAGAACATAGACTGTGGGAGGAAGAAAGAAAAATGCATGCTAAATTTCTATGAGGTGGGCCAGCTGCGTGGCGCATTGGTTAAGAGCTGGCTTGGGATGCCAGAGGGCCCCGGTTCAAATCCCACATATGAGGGCCAGTGACACTGCCCTCCACAGCTAAGATGCTGAACAACAGCTCAACCTGGAGCTGGGCTGCTGTGAGTCTCCTGTGACGGCATAGGCTGCAGCCCCTGTGGCAGTGGGTTGCCATGGGCTACCGTGTATAGCCAGCAGCCAGCATGAGTGGCCAGCAGCTGCCATGAATGGCTGTCCAGAAGTGGCGACTGACTGATCTGTCTCACCCGGGAAGAGCGCAATGATAATACCAACATGGGCCAGTGAAGCAACATCCTCCACAACTAGACTGAAGAACAAAAGGACAGCAACTTGTCTGTTCCCCTTCCCCTAATCCCCCAGTGCTGTTCCCATCCCCCAATTCCCCAATTTTAAAAAATCTAAAAAAAAATTTCTATGAGGAGGGACTTGGGCACAATTTCAGGTGTTGACTTAATATAATGGAATAAAAGCACAACAGCAGTCAAATCAGCCCCACAGCCAACTGTGTCTCCATACTTTTGACAAAAGTATACAGTAGGTTGGTTTTGGCCCACGGGCTGTAGTTTGCAGACTTCTAATCTCATATAACAAATACTACTTTACCTCCAAGCAGGGATTGGTATATTTAATTTTTAGGGGCCACGTAGTAAATATTTTAAGGCTTGCAGGCTATAAGGCCTCTGTCACAACCAGTCAACTCTACCATGTGATGTAAAATGTACATAGGGAATACATAAATGAATGAACTAGACTGTGCTCCAACAAAACTTTATTTACAAAAATAAGCCAACAGTTTGCAAACCCCAAGTTTAGAGGAATGAAAGGGCTAAACTACACTTGAAGATAAAATTACCTTATTGCATTTGACTATCTCTGAATTCAACTCATATTTAATGGTAGAATTAAAAATGTATGGCCTTAGGATCCAAAAGGGCTAGATTTGAATTCTGGATTCGCCACCCGCTAAGCTATATATTACAAGGCAAGTTACTAGTGGCGGGGGGGAAGTGTACAAATTTTAAGAGATGTTATTTATGTATTACTTTTCAAAGTTTAAGGGAATTACAGTAGCAATGTGTAGTACCTACAACGTTCGCTCCAAAGATGGCGTTAATCAAATGAATGCTCTAGCATCATTCATTGTATTACAATTTTAATCCAATGTGTATTCTTAAAATGTGTATACAATTTTTTGGCACCCTCTGCATAGGCTACTCGTAGGAACGTTTTGCTTCTATCTTGGGAATTCATGATATTGTGAAGCCCATCTATCTACCTCTGGCTAAGAAGATCATCTCTAGCATGAGTTCAGCTGACCTCATGTCCTGCTAAAGCCCCAACTCAGAACTGGAAACACGGAAATAAAAAAGGGTCTAGGACAAAATTGGGCTAAGTAGTTCGAGGGTATGTTGTGAGCAAAGGTCGAAAAAATTTGTATTTATTGTGCTGAACTACATGAAACTGATATTTTTAGAGATCAAAAGAAGCGCATATTGGTAACCTCACATGATGCAACCTACACCCCTCAGAGTTCTATTTGGTGTTTCTCTTTGGCATGGGCTCTTGACCATATTCCCTTCTCCCCTGTCACATGCCAGTCAGACAGGCCAAGTGTGGTTACACCAGTTCTCCCCTCACCACTGCTGTTTTAGAAACCAGTCTCCCAAGGCTTTGTCAAGAGTTCTTGAGGTCTACCTTATAGAAATCATCAAATACACATAAATGAAAAAAAAATGCTGAACAAAGAAGACACATATTAGAGTATAACAGAAAAGTTAAAAACAAAAATAAGAACAAAAGAATGGCCCAAATTTTCAAGTCTAAAAATGATTACGTAAATTAATAATTCAAAGGCATATTATACAACATTTTAAATGATAAATATGAACTCTATAGGAGAAAGGTGAGCACGTTAAGTCTAGGGAAGGCTGCCTGCTTTTAGTTTTATTGGAACACTGCCAGGTCACTTGTGTATATATTGTCTGTTGCTGCTTCTGTGCTATAGAAGCAGAACTGAGTCGCTGCCACAGAAACCATTCAGGCCCAAAAAGCCTAAAACATTTGTTATCTGGCCCTCTAATAAAAACTATGCTGATTCCGCTATAGAAGAATAAAAACAGAACACCCATGATATATCAAGAGGAAAAAAATACAGGATAGTATTTAAGTTGAATGTAAACAAGTAATTTTTTTTATAAAACATAATTTTTAAAAAACGGAAATGAAAGGTGAAATGGGTCTTTGGGTGGGGTCTTCTTGGTTATTTAACAAAGAGAGATCATTATATAAATTTTGTGAAATTAATCCCTTTTAAAAACACTCTTATCTCCTAAGAATGAGACTCAGCCTACAAAGTCCTAGAAGAGGACATCCATGAGGGGTGGTCCAGGTATTATTCGATCCTGCTAATTTTGATCTCTCAGGTATTAGGATTACACATCCTGAAAAAAATCACTAATATAACGTATTTTGTACTTTGCTAAGCTCTTCCATTCATTTATCAAATATTCATTAATCATATAATATTTCCCAGGCATCATGTAAAGTGCTAGTATGCACATACACAAGTACTGATGTGGTCCCAGCCCTTAAGAAGTTCAGAATTCAATGAAGTAAACAAACATGTAAATAATTCATTACAGCATCATGTGGTTCAGCAAGCTAACCAGGCTTGGAGAAGCCCGGGAAACTTCCTCATCCAAGCAGAAATTTAAATCACAGACGAAATGACTTTCCCAACGTTTTGAAAGAGTTAGGGGCATTCAAAGTAGAAGAAACGGGCCCCATGGTTCTCATCAGCGTGGTTTTGCTAATTGGCACAACCGAGTCATAGTGATAAGCATGATGGCTCACACCAAATGAATTCCCCTATGAGGGGAAGGATGGCTTGTTATTTTGAGAGGAGGGGGAAATAACAGGAGCATGACTGATTTGGCTGCAGTCCCTGATCATTCATATTTGTTCAAGGACTCTGCACTCCTCCTCCTCTTCAGTATTACAGAACTATAGGACCTCGACTTTTACCTATCACTTCATACTTTATAAACAAATTCCAGGTTACTTATAAATCTTAGAGGTTCAAGAGAACATAGATAACATATAGTCTCAGGGTACACACAAAAAAAAGATACCTAAAGGAGGTGGTCTAATGAGGATTTAAAATCAAGGACTCCTAGAGCCAAGCACTCTTCCCAGTACCGGGCACCACTTCTTCATACACCTTGTCATGAGCTAGAGAAGTAAACATACAGGTTGATTGCCAAAAACACTGAAAGAAGGTACCTAGAATCCATGCAGCAGAGGCTCAAAACTCAATTTGCAAAGGGTTTCCATCTATATCATTTGGGCCTCACAATGATTCCTGGAGATAACAGGCATTATTCTTCACATGAAAAAAAAAAAAGTGGCTTTGAAAAGTTAAACAGAGAAGAATTCAAATATGGATTCATAGGTTACAAGGATCACTGCTTTACCCATTCTTTCCTTTAAAAAAAAGTTGGACAAGATGAACCAACTGACTCTCTGAAGTGAGGTCCAGTGTTGCCAAGCCCCTTTCACAGCAGCCTAAATTCTCTAGCATACTGGTCACTTCCCACTCACTGTTCAGGTACCCATGTTGCCTTAGCAAGTTCAGTCTTTTTACCATTTTTGCCGAGAGTTTTTGATGCAGAACAGAGGTAAAGGACACCACCTTTGGGTTGACTGCCTAGCCTGGATTCAGCTTTGCCACTTCCTGGCCATGTGATCCTCAGCAAGTTACTTAATCCTCTTAGTACTTTCTGCTTCCTTATCTATAAAATCAGAATGATAACAGACTCCACCTCACAGGCTGTGTTATATATATATGAACCCATTTTTCACAGCAGCCTACGGGGTCATTTTTTCCACACAAAAGAATAAGCACTGTGAGAACCGGATTTTTGTTTATTCAGTAACTAGGAAACTATCTAGCACTAGGAAGCAGTTGGTTACTGAATGAGTGAATGGATAATGAACAATAGGAAAGAACAACAAATGTTAAGTCCTATCTCAACAATAACACAGAAACTCAGAAGAGGTATCAAATTTAAAATTAATAGTAGTGTGGTGCTGCCAAGATGTCCAAGACCAAATTCTG